AAAATCAGTATGATTTTTTGGGAATCTAGGGTAATTTTGTAGAGTAATGGTTGGATTCATTGGAAAATGTGGAGTAGTTTGTATTTGGTTGTAGAAATCAGTTTTGGTTGTTCTTGAAGAGTCGGTTCATTCCTTGTAGATGAATTTTACTCTCCAGGTGGAGAAAAGTTTGGAGCTTGGTTCATTGCAATGGAATTCGTGTCAAGGTGGAGATTGTGTGACTCGAATTCCTTGTTGAAGTAATTGAAGAATTCTAATTGAAATGCATATCAAGAAAAATTCAGTTTAAAATGCTATTGGAGTCCTATGTCAAGTTAAAGTTCTATTTTAGAAGCTCATTGGGAATTAGAAATTGGTATTGGACTTGAATAAGAGTTCGAGATGGAGAAAATAACTTCGAACAAAAAAAAAGATGAAAATAATTTTTTTGGGCAAAACGTCCGGCGCCACCTGTACTTGTTCCCCTTTTCACATTTTTCTCTCATTTTTCGTTTTGGACTCGATTTTTTAGTATCCTACTTCATTAATAACTCTACTATGAGGGTTTTGATGTTCCCTATACATTTCCTATAAATATTAGACTCTTCTATACAATTTTATGGTGTGAGAAAAGAGATTGCTAGAATTTTAGGATGAATTGTATATTTCTCAATTATTATTAGTGTAAATTATTTTGCCATATTTTCTTGTCTTCTTTTGTTATTTTGCTTGTGATCAAATACTTCATTATTGTACTATATAACTTCAACATCTCATTCCAGTGGTTGGTTTCATATCAAGTGATATCGAGCGGTGCGTGATCCTTGAATTTTCAACAATTGGTATCAGAGATTTTGGGTATAATTAACACTACAAAAAGATTAAAAAAAAAGTCCTTACCATAAAAATTTGGTTTCCTGAAGGGTTTTTGTCTGGAAACTCGGAGTCGGAAAACGGGTAGGCGCAAACACATCAGCAGCTTCTTCTTCTTCTTCCTCTAGTTCGACCACCCGTGCCACCAAGTGTGCTTATCTTTTTACTTCTAAAGCTGCCATAGCCTCTTCCTCCACGAACTCATCGATATCCACTCATTCTCATGTCATGACTCGATCCAAAGACTCGGTAGTTTCATCCACTCTAATGGACCCAACCCCTGAAGCATCTACTATCTTTGCCCCCAACTTCTTTCTTCTTCTGATCTTCTTAAGTAAAAAGGAAATTTAAGGATTTGAGGTTTTGGGGAATGAAATGAAAATAAATGGGCAACCCCTATTGTGAGTTTCTAAACGTATATGTATTTCAAAAAAAAATTGCTGACGATAGAAAATTACGACACATATCCAGCATGAATTGTGCTAAGAGTTAGCCTTTTTATATTATCGGGATTTGTTCAAACCCAACAACGTCGGAGAGAAGGATCTTGTGCTCTGATTAAAGGTTGTGAGAAGTAACCATGACGAGTCATGTGGCTAATGGCAAGAAGACTCAAGACTGGAGTACAAAGAAGCCAAAGCCTTGGATTATATCGATCTCCTATATGAGTCCTTTGATCCTTAAATTTCCAATACTTCTTAAATGAGCCACATGCATATTTTTCACAATTTGTTTTGGCATTACTTTGGGGCCTTCGGAGGGGTTTGTTTAATAGAAAATTTTTAAGCTGCGATAGCTAGTTTGGCATGATACAACGTGGGCTAAGCTTGTGAAGCGATTCATGCATATCTCTTATGTGAGTCCTTGCCCAAATGCATATTTGATGTGTTGAGTATACTAAATATAGTTTGTACTTAACTAGTCAAAGTTCGAAATAAGTCAAAGTGGTCGTCATGATCTAATTTCTACACTAGCACGCTTTTTCTTATCATCTCATTTTAGGGGTGTTAAGTTGGTCGAACCAAGACGTCTGACTCGCCATCTATCGGGCTCAATTCAGCCCACCACACGAACCAACTCGCGCTTGCATATGGGGCGAGTCAACCACAAGCTAATTGTTACCAAAAATATCACCTTGGCTCACTCCATGAACTAGCACAATGATAGGGCGAGCCAAGCTATCTTGCAAGCCACTCATGCCTCGTCTTTTTTTTTTTGGAAAAAGTTAAAAACTGCATTTTTAGAGAAATGGTGAGTATAAGAAGTTCTATATTGTCAAAAAAAGTTATCAAAAATATTATAAAGTCGTTAAAATTTTTCCTCTTTTATTCGAGTTTGGGACCGACTACATGATTTATAGGTGAATGATATATCAAAATGTTTGGAGAATGTGTGATAATAGAAGCAGTTGTGTGAGAATTGAAAGCATCAGCACTTCCCCTATAGGCAAAATCTTAGCACAAGAAATAAAAAATAAAATGAAATGTGATGTGATGTGATGGAAGAAAAATTCGAATTTAGATTTTCAAGCAATCGAATGATCGCTTAAAATGAAGCCTAATTTGATACCCACTATTTTCAAAATACATCTTTCTCTCTTTTTTTCAATCATATATTTTTCAATAAAATACTATTATACGCAAATTCAAAAAAAAAAAAAAATTAACTACACATTTTTCAATAAAATACTATTTCAAAATGTATTTTGGGACAAAAAACGTGGCTCAATCATGCGCTAAATTACTTGATTAGACGGCAGTAACGACAATTGCTGCATTTTTGTAGGGCTAGACGAGCCTACTAGCTCGCGAACCAATGAGTGGCCGCCCAATTAACACCTCTAGTTACCATCCTTACCGATTGATATTCCTAATGCGTACAAAAAGCAGCTTTAACTGATTTATTTGTAATTTTATGCACCAGTGACTTAACATAATCGTTTCCCTTTGTATGTAGTGGGATAATTTAAATTCCTCGGCAACCAATTCTCTTCCTATTGATATTTTACTATATTTTCCATGGCTTTTGCTTTCAATCACTAGATCACATGTATATCATTTAAGTATTATCTTCCATATGTTTCCTCATATGTAGGTTGAGTTCATGCTTTTCCCATCAACGCCTACACTTGCACAGATTATCAAATGAATAGTAGCAAGACTTCAGCTTTATATGTTATGATATCATGTTGAACCATTTTATTTAAAAACTTAAACAGTGAGAAAAATCACATGTATATCCTTTAAATATTGTTTATCACTATGAATCTTGGTCCATCTAAAAACTTAAATGTGAGAAAAGTCATATGTATATCGTTTAAGTATTGTTTATCATTGTGAACCATGGTCCATCTAAAAACTTAAATGTGAGAAAAGTCATATATATGTCCTTTAAGTATTGTCTTTAACTAATAAACGTTACTTTTTTCTACTACATGAAATTATATATCGGATTAATTAAAGAGAAAAGAATCGAATAGCTGTTCCACCCCAATATAATCCATACAGGCAAATACAAATTATGCACTTGCTTCCTCCGGTTGGAGAATGTAGAAATTAAACTTCCCTTTCTCCCTGAACTCCTTTTCCCTTGTACACCAAAAGGATTTTTCCCATTTGCGAAAAAATGGAGAATTTAGATGTGGAAAAGACTCCCGAGAAGCTTGCCAGGCGTAAAGGAGGCCTTCGGACCATGCCTTTCGTTATAGGTAAATTTTGTATATTCGAGTATTGCATATCTAGCATGCCCTATACATTACTAATTATGATATTTATATATGTTGATTTGTATAATCTGTGGATACAGCAAATGAGGCATTTGAAAAGATAGCAAGTTTTGGACTTCTGCCAAATATGATATTGTACCTTACATTCAAGTATCATTTTGATGCCGCAACTGGAACAAGCATTTTGTTCATATGGGGAGCTACTTCAAATTTCATGCCAATTATGGGAGCTTTCATTTCTGATTCATACTTGGGTAGATTTCTTGTGATTGGCATAGCGACGATTATCAGTCTTACGGTCAGAAATTATTTCTCCTCGAACTCTTACTTGTGTAGATTGATTGAACCGTATACTATGGAATAAATTAGGGTTTCAATCCCCAGCCTTTCAGGTAGCATGGTTTTCCCATTTCTAATGTTCAAAAATGAGGTTCTGGGTTCGATCTATTTAACTCTTTGAATCTGGATAATCGTTAATATGAACGTTACAATCATACGTGATCACTTTCACATGACTCAAAGTTGGACAATAAGTGGTTTGATTGTTTTGTCCTCCAGCTTTACATCACGTGTAATAATTTTAACATCTGCACGGATGATTTTCATTATGTGACAACCAGAAGTCACGTATTTAAGTAGGTTGGAGACCTACAATCTCATCTTTGAAGGTTGGATATCCAAAATTACACTAATTGAAAGGTGAAGAAGCCCAACCCTTATTTTCCCTGCACGGTATGGGTGGTAAAAAACTAGTGATGAGTGAAGTTTTAACGAACTTTCATGCCACTTTTTAAAACTTCATTTCGTTCTTATGTGACCGCTAAATTTAAACTTTGTTACCATTTGATCATTAAAATAGTTTATCAACTTGATACAAAGTGAAATTCAGTAACCAAAATTAAATGTTGCAAAAAGTTTATTCTCCACCAATGTGTTTTTAGCCCTAAATAGTTACATACGATCACTTGAAATTTTCTTCAAATATTTGATTGCAGGGACTGATTCTACTGTGGCTAACAGCCATACTTAAACAGGCAAAGCCACCACCATGTGATCCATATAAAGAAATTTGTATCAAACCAAATGCAGCACAGATTGCACTTCTTTTCACGTCATTTGTGCTTATGTCCATCGGAGCTGGTGGCATTAGGCCATGTTCTTTAGCATTTGGAGCCGACCAATTTGACAAACCGGAAAATCCGAACAATGAAAGGATTCTGCAGAGCTTTTTCAGCTGGTATTATGCTTCTGTTGGGCTCTCACTCATGATTTCAATCACAGTAATTGTTTATATTCAAACCGAATACGGTTGGATCATTGGGTTCGGAGTACCGGTTGGCCTCATGTTGGTGTCTGCCGTTGTTTTTTTCTTGGGTACAAATCTTTACATTAAGGAGAAGCCGAACAAGAGTTTGTTTACTGGTTTTGCTCAAGTTGTAGTGGCGGCTTTGAAGAATAAACACATTGATTTCCCATCGAAGGATTCTGATGGATGCTATTATCGTGGCAATGATTCTAAAATTGTTGCACCAACACAAAGATTAAGGTTAGTTTATATAGTGAATAAAGTATGACTATGAACCCCACTAACGTTCTTTAGTATCAGATATCTTTATGGTACACATTTTTCTTAAGAGCGTTCTTGATTTCTGATTTGTGATTGTTCGAGTAACACCGTACTTGGTCATCACTAGAATGTGAAGAAATCTGTGTTTAGTACCTCCATTACAGACAATTAACAAGTCTTTGTGACCATAATTTTAGCAATAGAGGGCTTGACCTTTATTCCCATAAAGCTAAAAATAGTAAGCACATTTGAGGGTTCAAATGTCACTTTCTTTTTATGATAGTCAATCCCGACATGATACCTCGACAGACAATCCATCCCTTTTCTTCGATCGAGTCCTCCCAAAAAATCCAGAAAATAATAATCTAATTCAGATATGGGAGCATTCCTTTTTTCTTTTCATTAGAGTTATTTCACGAAGACTCGTATGGTAACGAAGAATAGGGAAAACAAGCAAACTTGAAAAGCGCTGTACAACTGAGTTGTATGCTGTGTTTGGGAAGGATGAATCACTCCTAAAAAGGAATCTATTTCATTCCTAATATGATATTAGTCACGAGCATTCAGTGTTACAAGATCTTCAAACACATTTTTCCCATCTACCATTATTGAGAAACCACCCAACATACAATTTGAGTTCATTACAGCTTCGGAGGGTGTGGATCCATGTGTGCAAGTGGTTTCTCTAATTTTTTGGCAAATCTTGAACTAGTAAATGCTGTCCCAGTGATATTTTGGTTGACCCAGCGGTGCACAAATAAAGCTCTGATATCCATTTCTTGTGTGTTCTTAGGTTCCTAAACAAAGCCTGCATTATTCAAAACGCGGAGAAAGACTTGAGCCCTGATGCTTCAGCTTCAGATCCATGGAGTCTATGCACAATCCAGCAAGTAGAACAGCTCAAATCACTGATTAAAGTACTCCCCATGTGGTCAACCGGCATTGTCATCGCCGTTACCCTTAGCCAACACTCATTTCCAGTACTCCAAGCAAACACCTTGAACAGACACTTCATTGGAAACTTTAACATCCCTGCCGGTTCCTTCGGCCTGTTTGGAATCTTTACTTTAACACTATGGATTGCCATATATGATCGAATCCTCGTTCCTTACATATCAAAGTACACCAAAAACCCGCGTGGTATTCCTGTCCAATACCGTATGGGAATTGGATTATTGATTTCTTGTCTTGCCACAACAGTGTCAGCATTGGTTGAAAAAAATCGCCGCGCAAGAGCCCTCGAAGAAGGTTTGGCAGAATTTCCAAAAGCTGTGGTGAACATGAGTGCAATGTGGCTAATTCCACAGCATTGCTTGAGTGGATTGGCCGAGGCGTTTAACGCCATTGGCCAAATCGAGTACTATTATTCGGAGTTCCCCAAGAATATGTCTAGTGTTGCAGTGGCACTTTTTACATTAGGATTTGCCATTGCTAACTTGATTGCAAGCTTCATAGTTACACTCGTTGATCATTATTCGAAAAAGGGTGGGAAAGAAAGTTGGGTTTCGACTAATTTGAACAAGGGACATTATGATTATTACTGGTGGATTCTTACCATTCTTAGTGTGGGAAATGTGCTCTACTACATCATTTGCAGCTGTCTTTATGGGAATGATGATGAAAAGGTCTCGAACGAGGACGAGGTTGTTGAGGACAAAAATGGCGCCACGATTGAAATGGCAAAATCTCCCAAGATAAGCTATTAATTGAGTTTTGGTTTTGTTCATTTTATTTTCATTTGTTTAGTAAATGTCTAGAAACCTGTTACAGGAATCAAGTGCCAGTATACATTTCCCTTGTTTATACTTGGATTTGAAATATGTTAAGTACTGGACCTCGTGTGGTAGTACCGTGAATTAGATTTCAACTTATTTTTCTTCTTCGTTACAATCCAATTCGAATAAATGTCATGTTTCTTACTTAATAGTTCACGCAAGAAATTTGCAAATTGCACCAACTAGTTAGTGAAATAAATTTATTTTGCAATTAAACGCCACAAAAATGGTAAAAACTAAAAACAAGGTGAGAAATTCCCGAGCGCCTCAATACTTGTAGAACCATAAGGATTGTATAAAGAGATATAATCGACAACGATTAATCTAGTTGTACATAACCCTCTACATAATGGTGACGTGACAATCATCCACTCATTGATGTGTAAGTGTGAGAGTTGAATTAAAGGCAAGATTACATGCCACGTGTAATTATGTGAACCATTATGTGAATGGTTATGTACCTATAGCATTACCCAATTGACAAAGGGCCACTTGGCAAGTTTTTTTAAAAAGTTAAAAATTACTTTTGAACATATTTAAATAATCTTCTAGAAGTGTTTTGTCTTTTAAAGAAAACTAATTCAAAATAGATCTTTCACAAGAAGCAAAAGCAGAAGTCATATCAAATAGACCTTAAGAATTTAGTGAATATGTAAATTGAGTGTACCTAAAAATTTCGTAATAGATTTTATTATAAATAATTATGAAATTTTTCGAACCATATTCGAGATTTTTAGTAAATTAACTCGAAAAAGGCAGCTAATATTTAAATTTATTGAGAAAGTTGAATCAAAATTAATTAAAAGTCGGGAGGAAAAAAAATTGCAATCTAAGATCTATGCTAATTTGTGAGAGCGAAATTTCACATATAAAAAATGAACCAATTGGGAACCAAATTTTAAGCAACATTTTAACATGAAAATGAAGGTTCATTCCCAATTAATATATTCTTCCTAAGGAACTCATTGCAACCAAAAATTCCATAATCATAATGGCAATCTTTTACAGTGCAGCTCGTGAGGTATATCAATATACCTCCAATGTTGATAACAGGACACTACACTATTAAGACAGAAATTCATTCACTTCTTTTTGCTATACCTCTCAAGAGTGAGCAATAATTGTGAATGTGTCGTAAATATCAGGATTCAACCCTTTTCCGGAATTTTTACATACCTTATTCCAGTTCCTTGAGAAAGTCAATATTGTCAACAAAGACCTGCAAGATTCAAACGAAATGCAAATTTTGAATCATAAAAAATACGCTATTATTATAGCGTTAATGTCTCTTCACAAACAAAGGTTCGCGTAACTGGCCTCTGATATATACGTCTAGCAATGTTTCCAACTATTAACCAATCCAGAGGCAAAAATCTTTCTAGTTTCTAACCAAACATAAATTTCATGCAGACATGCAAAAATATGGACAGACATGCAAAAATATGGACTGAAAGCTCATCACAAAGAATTATCTTTATCCCGTTTAATAACTTTTAGTAGCTTCTCCGAGCAATGCACAATTCGACTACAATCAGCAAGAATAAAGAAACAAAACAAAAGTAAATAGCATCGAGAGTTTGAATTCATAATTGCTTCTCAACAACTTCTTGAATGACAATAATTTCTTTTATTTAGTTATCTATTTGTGGATGCTCAGTAAGGTGTATTTTACAGAAAGTGCCAAGGAAGAAAATACACTAAATTATTGTTTGTTGTAATGTTAGTCCTATCTAGCTTGTAGCGTACCAAACATGCACTTGGGTTACATTTGGCATGCCGTATTAGACCAGATAAGGAATACTTTAATCATATATGGTGTTCGGTTTGGCGCAAATAACAATGGGACTAAATTAATCTGTTTGACTTCTACCATTTTGACCAGATAAAACAATCCAAAGTAGATTAAGGGTAGATTAAAATCAATTAACACATACTCGCAATCACCATAACTCCCTTCTATCCTTTATATAGAAGCAAAAAGAAAAGCAATAAACAAAAACACAAATCAAAATATTATTTTACTTGCAACTAAGAAAAATGTCTGTGACACAACGTAAATTTACTTGTACAAATAATATTTTGCATTTAAAGTAAAAACCATGTTACTTATTTGAAACAAGTCTAAGAATAACTTTTCAAAGAAATGTTATTTATGAAAGTAAGTTATCGAAGCAAAAGAAGTTACCAAATGATATTATACATTGTGATCCACCTTAATACAATCCCCCTATTCCTATTCTCCCTAATCGTGTTCCTCCTAATCCTCTTCCCCCATAATCTAACATTGCGTGCTAAACTCACCTTTGATATCTTCTTTTTCTGTAAACCTTCAAAACCGATGCTTTGTATCCTGCAAGTGACATATTCCTTCAACGAAACAAAGCATCTTACCTGCTAACTTTAATAAAAGGTTCTCACTGCATTGGGGTCTGAATGATTATTCGACCGTCGAAGCTTAGATCAAGGAATTGCAACGCACGAATAATCAGATTTAAGCTAAATGACATCCAACATGATTTCCCACTGTCTCCAAGATGAAATTTATTGCTCAAGAGTATCTTCCTATAGGGATCATTCCTACACTATTACTCTTCATTTCACAAAAAAAAATTGGCATTATTTCCATATGAAATTCAATGCTTAGAAAATCTGACTATATGAATCATTGCTACCACTTGTACACTCAATCTTCCTCTAGATATAATATTTTAAAATTACCAAAGCATGTTTTACTTTAGAGGGTGAGTTCCTTATTCGAAATCCATAAGCCAAAATGGTGTGTAACGAATAATGATTTAAAAGTGAGAGGAACAGGCACACCTCTAACAGTATTCAAAAACAAAAGTCAAGAAATTTATAGCCGCAATATTTAGGTCAAAAAATAATTAAGCGATGAAAATTGAAAAGCAAAGTTCATACCGACTTCCAACCATCGGGATCAAGACACGCAGTAATCTTGGTATTAATGCCAGGTAAAGGTCCAGGTTCTCGGGTAATTACTCCTCCACATTGCTTAATTACTTCTGCAGTTTTATAAACATCGTCTGTGCCTATTGCAATCTGTTAGAAATTCATAATCAGTTGACTTATTCAAATTTTGGATTTTCAACTACCAAAGTCACCAGGCAAAACATATCATGTCAAGCGTGACAAAATAATGCTAGGAAAATGAAGAGAGTCAACCTGAGCGTACGCATTTCCTTTCTCGTATTCAGTAATACCATAATTGTAGGTCAACTCCAAGACAGTATTTGTATCTTCCGGACCATAGCCCATCATTGCTATTGTATACTGCAGAGAGGACCAAGAGCTCACATCAGTACATAGGGATCTTCAAACGTGCATAAACAGAAAGACTTGCATGAAGCAAATTATGCAACCAGGATATGCTTAACATGTTTGTCTAAGCTTAAAAGTAAAAGCTACTTTTAAGTCACTTTTGGTACGAAACTAAATTGGATATATTACTTTTTCTTACTTGTAAGTATAAAAAAAAAGATTCTTATTTTGAAAGTAACAATTACCTTGCTTTTTAAAATGACTAACTAAATTTATTTCAAAGTTCAAACTTTGACTACCAAAAAACTCATTTTTTAAAACTTTTCCTTATTAAGTGAACTTTTTAAGCTTAACCAGACATGCTTTAATTTTAAATCTAAGACAAACTAGGAATGAGTTAAGTGTAAAATGACAATGACTTAAATCCAGATGCAACTATTAGGCGAAAGCTAGCTGTATGACAAAGAATGGGTAAATGACATATAGATTCCCAACCCATAAATTAGCAAACTGTGCAATTAATAAGATCTGCATTAATTATTAGGACACAACATACCAAAAAAGGTGTTGGCGTACTGCATTACAGAATCAATGTAAGATTTATAAGTTAGTAACGCATAGTGATTTTCTGATTCTACATAAGAATGTTTAACAGTAAGTGAGAAAATTAACAATCGCAGAACAGAAATCTTTTAACATGTACTGCAAACCAGATGGCACTTAAACCATTGCTACAAAAAATGTTGGGTAAGAAATCATGAGAATGAGGGAAACAGAGGCACAAAAGCAAAAGCCTAACCAAAATAAAAGTCTTATGCACATGACATTTGTGAAAATTCCAACACACACACACAAGGACAAAATGTTTATCACTATCTTCTGACTTCTCTATCAACTCGACGTAATAATGGAAATGTCAGTATTACCTTATATTCAGGATTATCTCGTTTGCGAAGAAGCTCCATGCCAAAGGCCTAAAAAATGAGACATAACTTAGAGCTAATGCAGAATAAAGGACAATTAAGGCAAAGTCAACAGATGAAGCTGCAAACAATAATATTTCAGAGATAAGTAATACATGTACTATTGCAACAATGACGTTGAGGATTATGAAAACGTTGAAAAAAAAAGTGCATTTCTTATTTCCTTAAAGAAGACCACACCTTCTCATAGAACTCAATAGAACGATCAAGATCTCCTACTCGAAGCATTACTTGACACAGTGGTTCAGGTGTAGGACCTCTCTCCAGAAGTTCAAACTTATAACCATCAGGATCTTCTATAAATGCAATCACCGTTTTGCCGCCTTTGACAGGACCAGGTTCTCGGGTAACTGTACCACCTTTAGCTTTTATGAGATCCACAGTCTTTGTTACCTATGTATAACAGTATCATAATAAGCAATTCTGTCCATTCTAAATTAGAGTAATAATGTGAGTGAGTCAACTTTTGTGTTCATGCCTATGTGCATGAGCACGCACGCACACAGAAGAGGTGTGGGATGTGTGTGTGTCGGGGGGAGGGGTGGGGGGTGGATGAAGAATCATGCAAGCTTGCTTTCAAAACAAAGATAAATTCTTTAGAATCAAATGTCAACAATAAACTCATCATCTTTCGAAATGTCCAGAACTGCAATATTTACATAAGTGAAAAGCAAGTATTGATTCAATCAATTAATGGATAGGGGTCTCGTGGCACCGATGCCTAAGAGGCTTGATACCTGAATTTAACATTCATTTATGAACTCTGTTTCCAGCATCTAACATAATAACAGAATTTGAAAGATGAAAGAAATTAACTCAATTCCTACAGCAGGGCATAATACTATTGATAAGAATTAATTGGTTAAAAGAGAATTTGAACACATGCAACTGAGAACCACAACAAGAACAAAGGAATTTGAGTCTTGAGGTTATAGCTATCAAGACACCTCATCTAGTGTCAACTATATATACTGGATTCTTATATAAAATTGACAGACACTTACATCCTCAACTGCAATGCCAAAATGGCCAAAACCGGTCCCGATATCATATTTTTCAATCCCATAATCTGACAGAATATCAGATAAAAGACGGTTATTAATGACAAATCAACTTAAGCTGTTGAGTGTAAGCATATGCCTGAAAAAAAAAAGGCATGGCATAATAATATTTGTGCATTCAATTGATAGTAAAGATCAAGAAAATAATAATTTTGGAAAACTGCTAAATGCTTACTGTATGTGAGTTCAATAACAAAGTGAGAATCTTCTGGCCCATATCCAAGAAATGCATTTGTATATTTTTCCTCAGGTATATCACGTTTCCTAAGCAGTTTCATCCCAAGACACTCGGTGTAAAATCTGCAGTGAGCATTTGATTATATTTACACAACCAACTGTACAGAAAAGAACTTAAAAGTTAAGATAGAAAGCAGTTCATGGTAAAAAGAAGAGGCATACTTTATTGTTTTGTCTAAGTCCCCCACGCGGTAAACAACATGTAGCATTCTTCTCTTATCTTTCTTAACCCATTCTAAGGAATTTTCTTCGGTACTAGCAGTACTTGCTTGTGCCATTTTACCTGCTGCACAAACTGAAATGCTGCTGCCCTCTCCCCTAAACAACTTAGAAGTCTTAAGGCCAAAGCACTGTAACTGTGACACCGCTGGACAACATACGGATTAAGAAGTTAGAAGCGTTCCTTTTAAGTCCACCAATATCTTAAAGTAACTCATATGTTACGTTGCATGATTCTTTCAGAGGTAGAAGCATCAGCTTCAAGGATAATTCGTCAAATATAGAATAAGAAATATTTTACTGATCTAAAAATTAGCTAGAAAAGAAGAAAATAAAGCACAAACGGCATACTGTAATACTGCTTTGAAAAGGGGGGCATTACTGATGTATCAGATAAATTCTTATTAACTTCTTAACACAAGGAACATTATAGCAATGCTAGAGCATCTAGATTTGTCTCACTTAACTTGAGCAGTTTCTAGCATAAACCTCTGTTTGAGCACATTAAAATTTTCATTCTCATTCTTCTATTCATTTTCAATCAAACATTCTTCAATAAAATAATATTTTCCACCACATCAATAACTTTTCCTTCTTTTTCAACCATACATTTTCCATCAATCTATTATTTCAAAATGCATTCTTCCAAAATAATGTGCCTCAAACACACCCTAAAAGTTGGATAGTCAAAAGCTACTCAATTAAGACTCGACGAGAAAAAATTTTACAATATTAGCCCAGTATTCAACTACTCAATTAAGACTCGACGAGAAAAAATTTCAACTGCTTGATTAAAACTCCGAGAGAAAAAATTGCAACCCGGAATCTATAATGCTGATAAATAACTTTGTGAGTTCAAAGAATACAGAGAAGCACTTGCTTCTCCAATTTAAACACGTACATAAAATACAATACAACTCCCAATCCACCATTTGACATTCCATACAAAAAATAAAATGAAATCTTGATTATTAACGAGTTAAACCCAAACCCAACTCATTCAACTGATATATAATTGAGTTACGCAAATTTGAGAGGCGGGTCAGCATAAAAAGAACAATTCCAGTAAAAAAATTACTTAAAATTAGAAAAATTTAGAGGAAACAAGTAACTTACAACTGCCAAGATGCAATAAACTGAGTCTCCGACTGGAATTGGAAGAATACAGCGAGAGGCCCAAACGAGAGCTCCCCGAAAACCTCAAAGACGAGAGCGAGGGCCTAATCGATGAAGCCATAGGAATTATCCTCACCATCCCCGTCTCCACAGTCTGTACAAACACAATTTTATTGTCGTAAGATAAGCTCA